TTTATACCAAAATCAAAACTACGTCGTTTTGGGGAGAGAGTGTCTGTGTAATTTCAGAATTGGTTTAACCCCGTCCGTCATCCCTGTATTCTGTATTCTTCTATTATAGTCACCAAAATCAGGTTTCTATATCTTTTAATTTTTTCTTCGCATTTTATTTATTTTTATTTTAGTCACTACCCATATATTTACATATATTTAAATAATATTTTAGGATTATTTACATTTTTAATATATATATTTTATAATATTTCGAATATTGACAAATAATTTATATATATTTTAATTTAATCCTATATTATTATTTTGGTTATTATCTAATTACAATTTTATTTTATTATTATCTTTTATGTTTAAATATTTTAAATATAATACTTATTTTTTATTTTTTATTTTAGTCCCATATGTGCATCTTAATAATATATATTAGTGTTTAAAATAAAATAATATAATGAATAGAAAAAATAATAATAATGACATAAAGTAATACCATTATTAAAAGTAATAATAAAAATTAGAAAGTGGAGCATTATAATTATGTTGTTCCATTTTAAAATACATTCCACTAAGTTGTGTCCACATTTTTTATATTTTTAAAATAATCCCACGTTTTTTAATTTTAATTAATTATAATGCTTCGTTTTTTATTATTTTCTTGAAACATGTATTTTATTCTCTTAATTTTAATATTAATAATATTTTCATATTATTAGAGGATTATTTACAACTATAGTACTTTGCATATTGAGTGGTTATAATAGTAACCTTAATTTTTATATTTTCTTGATTAAATCATTAAAATTATTATACGTAATATAATTATTTTATTTTATACAATAAGTCATAAAATATTTCCTTAACTTATTAAGAAAGTATTTTAAATGATTTGTTGGTATAAAATAAGATTCTTAATTTTTTATGGGATTATAAATTGAAATTAAATACAAATTTGTTAATTTATTGCAAAGACATTAATTACTAAACAATGTATCAATTTTGGCCGTTGTGGGGGTGCTAATCATTCCCTACACGTAACCGACTCCCGGACTCATTTTCTGGTAAGCAGACCCTTTTTGTGTTATTTTAATATTATTTTTATAAAATAACAGTTTTTTTGGTGACCAATCACACTTCGATACAATGATTGGTGACGACTCCTCAAAATTGTGTTTTATCTTATGCTAGAAGAAAAACACTTACATTTTTTAGACGAGATTTAGAAAATAACGACACTTATTTTCGCCGGACGAAATATCGTCTCGACAGTATTCATGAGGATTAAAAACGTTTGGAAGTTATTTCCATTTTATTTGACTTTAAATATAAAACGCATTCAGTAAATAAATTAGATTTATATCATATATACATATATAAAATACGTTTAGAAGTTAGTTATTATTAATAAATATGCATGTTATGGGATATAAATTTTAAACTTATCATGTAACACTCATAACTTGTATACGTCTCAAAATACGAGTTAAAGACGTCGCATTAAACATTCATACATTGCTTACATAAACACTCTTTCAATTTTGGACAATTTTTAAAATTTAAATTTAGCAAATCAAATACAGTTAATTAATCAAGTGAAATCATAATATAATAATTTATCATTCAAAACAAAATTAGTTTTAGGCAGCAATTAGGTAATTAAGCATTGTTTCATATACTATATAAAACTGCCTAAACAATGCTTAATTTAAAAACCATTTAAATATCTATTTATACCATAATATTATATATATACTATTCATTCATATTTCAGATATAATTAAGGCTAGCCAAAATAGAATAGTCCTAATTTACTATTATAGATCATTCTAAATAATTTTGATAAAGCAAATAAACAGACATAATATACATGCCACTAAAAGCCAAAAGAGCGTCAGATATACCTCACTGATATTGATATTAGGTATGATTTTCTGAAAAAGGTGCTCGAAAGGCTCTTCACTTCACAATCTTTCCTTTATCTGAACCTATGCATGAAAATCATCACATGCTAAGTAAAACTTAATGAGACAATAACACAACTAAAGTGAGATAATACATAAAATATCATAAATATTTAAATAAATTAAAATGTAATTTAAATAAAATCATTGAACTTTCAAACCGAACTATTTAAGTCATTTTTCTCTTCAGAAACCTGAAAATCATCTTCTCATCATTTTATCATAATCATGTAAACCAATATAAAATCTAACAATTATTCCATATTCTTTTTCATTCGGACACAATTCAGATCTTTCATATTTCATTTCATATTCTTTTCTTTTTAAATATTTTTTATAACTTTCACATTTATTTTTATAGCCCAATATATATATAAGAGAATGCAAGGTACGCGAGTCGGACATAATGTGTGCACTAAGCACCAACGGTGCCATCATCATCACAGAATATACACTCCAAGTGCAATCATATCATTTGCACCAACGATGCAATACATAATGTACACGAATGTACCATATCAGAATCATATTTTACTTTACTCAACTTCATGGTTGAAGCGGATAACTTAGAGGTTATTCGGATCTTACATTGAAACACTAATAGAGGTTCGATATTTACTCTGTTGGACAATGTTAGTGATTTATTAAATCAGGAATTGACGATTACTTTGAGGCATATTAATCGGGATGCGAATAAGGTGGCCGATAAATTAGCAAGGTTAGCAGCAGTAAGACGCGATGATCATACGATTTTCTACTCTCCACCGCCAAAAGTACTTCGTTTAATACAACAGGGTTCATTTGATTATAATTTGGCAGTAGCACATTAGGTTCTAGCTTAAATCTTTACTTCATCAAAAAAATATATATATAACTCTCAATGCAACATACAATGGGCTCTCAGATCATATCATATTCATTTATTAATCATACATTTTAAATCAGAATCATCTTCATCTCATTAATATAAAATTATAAATTGGGCAATTCATGCCTGAAATCATCCATAATTTAATGTACAGATATCATATAAAATACTTTGAGCAGTTCTTGCCTTAATCATTTTAGATAATTCATTCATATGTCTTCTCAGAAAATGTCTTCTCAAAAAATATCTTTTAAAAAATGTATTGGGTAATTTCATACCCAAAAATAATCATAAGTCATTTCGATAACTGTTGTGGAAATATTTTCCAATCTGATTTAAAACTTTTCTTTAAAATAAGTCATCCAATGTTGAATTATCACAAGTCTTTCTCAATTACAATAATTAAATAAATAAATTACACTCACATTTACCTCACTACTGAACCTTTTCTATGATATCCTTTTACTCAGGTGCTTTGCCTTTCACTTTCGAGTAACTGAAATCACAAGTTGTCATAATCTTTGTGGATATGGAGGTTACATCAATCTTGGGGGAAGATGGTTGATTTATTTTTTATTTTTCATGTAATTATCACTTAAAACACTTGTGATATTTTTAATATAATTAAATTTAAAATTTAATTAATGAGAAATTTCAATTTCACCCTTTGAATCATGATAATTACTAATTTCCATTTAAATATCTTCTATAATAATATTCCATAATTAAAGATGAACCAAATAGATGTTGACTTTTTACTTTAACCATGCAATTTTAAAAATTATAATTTAGTCACCAAATTTTCACAATTTCAACTAAATAAGAAAAATTAACTTCACCATCCTTCAATTTTTCATAAAATTCTGGTTCGCTTTGATATTTCGATTTCTTACTGAACTTTACTGTTTTATAGCTTTTTATACAAACCTTAAATCAAAATTCTAATTCCCACAAAAACATTAATTTCGGGACAAAATATTCATTTACGCGCCAAAATATATATTTTAAAAAATTATATTTCTATCCTTAAACTTTTACAAAATTTATACATTAAACACTAAACTTTCAAAACTAACATTTTGATCACTGGCCAAAACTTGGGTATTTCATATCATATTAAAAACGTATGCAAGTTTCAATTAGGTTTTATATATATTTACTATAAATATTAAATATATATCAAGTGCTTAAATAAAAAATATATATATATAAAATTAACTGACCATTATTCTTATATGTAATGAGGTAAAAGGGAGATAAAATAATAGAATATCCCACACCAGATTGAAATAACCCACATAATAACTCAAGGTAGCCTAGGAGATGACCCACATGATAATTCCACCAAAGTTATCTAGCAACCTAGGCCTACGTGATAATCCAAAGCAATTAGGGATTATTTGGTTCTAAGTATATTTTATTATCATAGGAATGAAATATCATTTTTCATTTAGTTAACCAATAATCATATTATCCGTAATCTTTTATTCCCAACAGTAATATTTTAAAAATATAATATCAAGAATATCAATACCCATTCTTTTAGGTATTATTAAATTACCGACGATTTATATTAAAATACTCTTAATTTTTTTTAAAAATATACTTATTCTGTCGTTAGATAATTTATTTTACGAAAATTAAATTACAAATTTATCCTTAAATTATTTTAAATTTTAAAAAAAATCTATAATTAAAATTTTATATAAAACTTAGGATTAAAATAAAATTTTACATTTTCATTAAACCTATTTATTTTTTTAATTTTATAAAAAAAATTATATAAATTTTATTATTTTAAATTTTTTAAAAATATATATATAAATTAATTATAATAAAACTATAATAAAATTCAACTTATTAAAATAAATAAATATATAATAAGAATAATTTGATAAAATATAAACTTTAATAATATTTTATTATTTTAATTAAATATTATAATCTTATATTTCTGTTAATCGAACCAAACACAAAATATAACATTCCTAATAATTTTATTTACACCGATAATCTTATTCTCATAATTTTATATTCGTTAAATCAAAGACACCCTTAAGATTTCAACCTTAATATCCATCACCGTCAGATCTCATCCTTTGGATCTATTGTGGATGTAATGGTCTATATCTTTCATGAAATTAGGGTTAGTGAAACCCTAATAATGATGCGGTGCCACTAAAAGATCCATCGTTAGATCTAAAGAAAACCAACGGTCCAGATATATTACAAATTATGTTTGTAAACCCTATCTCTCCAACACTGCCATTGCCGCTGTCAAGATTTCTAGAAACTTCCCACGTCGCCCGATTCCCTTAGCCACTCGTGTGTGCATCCAGTGCACAGTTTTGGTCCCCCTGTTCTCATTATCAACATGAGAAACCCCTGGGACCACTGGTCCCCCTCTCTAAAACTCTTACTGCTAGATGCCAAAGATCTGGTTTTGACAGATGGTGACCTTTTTTTTGGTTGAGGAGGACATTGGAAAATAAGCTCGGCTCGTGCATGAACAAAAGAAAATAGAGAACCAGAGAGGCCTTTTCATTCAAATGTAAAGGAGAGCAATAGAAAACAGAAAAAGGAAGAATGATTTAGAGGATCAGATACCATTTTTTAGGAGGTAACAAAAATGGAAAAAAGGAACCCTTTGAACCATAAAAAAAACCCAAAAAAAAATAGAGAACATTTTGAGTGAAAACGAACCCATCCTCATCCACGGAAATAGAAAACAAGAAAATCAGAGAGGGGAGAAAAATCAAAAACAAAAAAGCTAAAAAAACCATCACAAAAAGCCATCTTCTCAAAACCCAAAAAAGAAAAAACAAAAATGAGAAATAAACCATTTTCAGCAACAAGATTCGAGAAAAGAAAACCGGGAAATAGCTTACCTTTTGGGTTGAGTGTCTCACTGGTGGTGATGCTGTGATCGTCAGGAACGTGAAGAGTCTCCAGAAGTAACTCTTTGATTTCAAGATCTAGGTTTTTGGTTGTAAATTTTAGGAAAAAAAGGGGCTTGGTTTCGAACTTTAGGGCACTAAATGACCATTTTGGGAGCCTAGTGTGAACTCCGGCAACCGTTCGTGACCGTAGATGACTCCGTGGAACGGTGGTTCTCATCCACCTGTGAATGGATGAGAAAAGAGAAACAGAGAGCTTTCGGAGAGGCAACATGAGAGAATGAAACAAATGGCATTTTGGGGGGTTTTGAATAGGGGAGACGAGACAGAGCTAGTCGAGGTCGATTTGGTTTTGGTTCGATAAATATTCAGATTTAATAGGTTTGATTCGAGCTCGAACTCGATTTAAATTTTTAACGAGTCGAAACAAGTTACTCGATACTCGATTTGAAAATCTAATAAGTAGTTCGAAAAAATATTATATTATAATTTTAAAATTTTTAAAATTACATTATTAAAAATATATTAAAAATACATTATTGATGAATAAATATTCTTGAATTGAAAATAATTAAAAATTATTTTTGAATAAATTTTTTTATATTTATTTTAAAATTTAAAAAAATTATTTATCTAATGATAGATATTTAATATATTTCTAATGATAATATTTGTAATAACTAATTTTTTAAATTATTGTTATATTTTGAGGTTTCGAGTTTAAATATCATAAATATAAAGGTTTAGAGATAAGGGTTTAGTGTTTATGTGTTAGGGGTTAGAAATTAGAGTTTAAGGTTTAAGGTTTAGAGTTTAAGGTTTAAGATTTAAGGTTTAGAGTTTATGTGATATGATTTAAGGTTTAGAGTTTATGTGATATGATTTAAGGTTTATAGTTTAAGGTTTAGGGTTTAAGTTATGCACATGAAGGTAACATACAAATTATGCAAAATAATGTTATGTGACTCCTAAATAAATCAGTCGCATACTTATATATAAACATATCAACATGCAAAATAAATATACACAACTAATTAAAGAAAATAATCCTAAACAGGGATTAAAATAAATATACAAAATTGGAATTAAACCAATGATTTAAATACAAAATGCGCATAAACTATAGGGTCTTATATGCAATTGATCATATTCGGTTTAAGCTATAATAATATGGAAAATAACATAAATGACACCTGAACATTTAAAACAAATAAGAAAATTTAAACAAATGTGATTGAAATACAAAAATTAAAATATAATATACCAAACTATAAATTTATCAACCAATAACATATTAATTAAATAATTTGCCCAAATTTTCATCAACCAAATGCACTTCAAAGAACATTTATAAAGAAATAGGCACTTTAACAATATGCAAAATGCTACAAGGTACTGTCATCATGAACAAGTACTATAAAACATATGTCAAGAAATCAAGTTAAGCTCATCAATCTGTACAGAGGGACGATTGCTGGCAACAAGCAATATATTAAATCAAAAATTCAAATTGCTAACCAGTTTGAGAAAAACAAAATACCATAAGATATTGAAACAACCCATCCAAATTTTGTGGCTTATGATATACACCGACAGTTATGTAAGAAGCCTAAGAGTCCCAAGCATCAAAGTGTATCAGTAGAACTAAGGGAGGATAACCAATGTCTGTTTGCAGCATAAGGCCAATAAGAGAGCATTACTAAAGGTGACATACCTGTTGCAGAAAGGCTGAATTCTGTGCACCTATGTAACAAGAATCTATAGGAACCTGCAGAAGGTAGCCAGTTAATTAAGACTGGCGACAAGAACACATTTGAAGCAAGAAAAACTACACATACAAAAGGAAAGAATAAACAAGCCAGTTAGTTGTATCATGCATGTATTCATGTGTATAGGGAGTGAGTAAAATAAAAAACAGTCGCAAACTAAAAAAATGAAAGATGCCAAATTTTACCGACATAATGCAAACCATTCTACTAAAAAACAAGATGGTAGAATGAAAACAATAATATTTCCACTACAAGGTTAAGACCCTTTGGCCAACTAGAAGCCGTCACTGTGATACCTACCCTATACATAAATCGCCAAAAAAAAATCCAAACAGCTGATACGGATGGTAGAAAGAATAGGATATTTAACTTCGCAACTACATCTAAAGTTTTCAAGTCACTATAAGAAAGAACATAGAGGACTAGGTTGAATTGAGTTGGTAATGAACTGCCGAATTAATGAAACATGAAAATTTGGGAGGAAATTTGACAAATATATATTGAAACAATGAGAAAGAAATACTGGATGTAACTTTTGATTACCTCAGAGCATTGGGCAGAGAATATTGCATTCATGATTGCAACATATCTGAAAAGAAGAAATCATTATGGAGTCTAAAAGCCAGAGGTGGAATGTGTGAATAACCATAAAAATAAAAGGAACTTACTGTTCAGGTCCATCTGGTGATCCCTGCAAGCATAAGATCTGTATACAAATGTTGGTAAAATACCATGAAACATAGTAATTGTCGTAACCGGTTTTCGTCCGGGCACAAAATTTTTTTTCTTGGCGGGAAAAGTGATGTTTAATAAATGTTTTTTAATATAATTTGGGAGTCGCCATCGGCCTTTTGGGTTAGGTAGGTCGAATACCTTAAAATTATCTTTTAAAAGAGTTTTAAGAAAGCATTAGTTAAAAGATGAACTGATCTGCGTTTTAACCAAAAATTCATTCTTTTTAATAATAAAGAGGGATTCGTGGTCGGTTACGTTTAGGGAAGGATTAGCACCCTACAATGCCCAAAATTGGTACTTTGTTAATTATAAATTGTCTCTATTAAAAAATCAAAATATATTTAATTTATAATTCTATTTAATTCAAATATTTTTAAGAAAATATATTAAACATAAATAAGATATTTACGTATTTAGAAATATCAGAAAAGGACTTCTAGGTGCCTTAAGACAGCTCTTTTCTTCGATATTAATAAATATTATAATAATTTAAATAAAATTTAAATTATAATTTTTTTATAATATTTAATTTTAAAATACCAGAATATGACATCCAGTTGTATTAAGATTGCCCTTTTCTTTGATATTGAAAATAAATAAATATTAAAATATGATAAAAAAATAATTTATGTAAAATCAAATTAAGATTTAATATAAATTATTGATTATATATTTATATGACTATATAATATAATAATATAATATTTAAATATAAACAAGTGAAATTAAAACATAAATAAATAAAAATAAAATAAAATTAGAACTATATATTTTTTAAAAAATAAAACTTTATAATAAATGAAAATATTTAAAATTAGTGACTAAATTATAATCTAATAAGATTAAATACCTAATTTGTAATTAATTATTTAAAATTACAGGGATTAAACATGCTATTCTCCTTATTTATTAATTTGGTGACTAAAATAAAATTATATAAAATTCATATATCAAATTAAATAATTGAAATATGTTATTCGGGTTTAAAATATCAATTATTAAAATTAAAGGACTAAATATGATATTTATCCTAAATATATTATTTTAATATAAAGGACTAAAATAAATATAATTAAAATTAAAGAACCGAAATAAAAGGATTATAAATTGATTTAGTGACTAAAATGTAAGGATTACAAATTAGGAGGGCTGTAGAAAGGGTTTAACTTTTAGTTAATTACCGACAGACCCCTCCCCAAAACGGCGTCTTTTGGGGATGGCTATTTAAGTCCCATAATCGGCTGGCCCAAAGGGCCATCTCTCATTTCTCCTCTTCACTCTCTCTCTCTTCTTTGAGAGAGTTTAAAACTCTATCGCTTCTCTCTAAAACAAAGAGAAGCACCGCCCGGCAGCCGTTTGCCGGCATTAACCCCACCACCGGCCACCGGGCCGGAAATTTTTTTTTTACACCTAAATATAGATCGGACCATCCTATTGATGGTTCCGATGAACGTTTCCCTTAAAACATTCCCGATCGGAGCAAATCTACGAAAATACCTTCGGTTTTCGAAGGTTTCCGATGACGTGTGAAGGCTCTGGTGATGTTGCAGCTTCCTCAGTAAGTATCTCTCCGTCTTCTCTTGCTTATTTTGATGTTTGTGGTTGCTGGTTTGCTCGCTTTTTTCTCTTGTTTGTTGTTTTTTTTTTCTTTTTCTCTCTCTGTTGGTTGTCGTGGTCTTTTCTCTTTGCAGGTTGTCAATGGCTTTATAACCATCACCGGTGTGGCTATCGGACCGGGTAAAAGAGTGGAGTCTGGTGAGTCACCGGACTTCCAGTGGTGACTTACCGTTGGGGCGACATGTGTGCGGCTGGAGTGGCTCTTCTGGAAGCTTTCGACGAGACGTGGCAGCGGTGGAGATGGTGGGAGTAGCTGCGGCGGCCGCGTGGCCCTAGGGTATCATCACCCTAGGGTTTGTGCTGGATGAGTGTGGGCCGTTGGATCTCTCAGATCCAAAGGATGTGATGCTGAGGCGGCGGCGCACGGGGCTAGGGTTAGAAAACCCTAGTTGAAACCCTAAATATTTTAGGGTTTCTATCTAGTTTGGGCAAACTGGTTGTTTGTAACTGGGCCGGTCCAGTTTTCATTGGGCCTGTAATTATTTTTTTAATAATAATAATAATATATATAATAATAATAATAATAATTATAATAATAATAATAAATAAATAAAATGGGTAAAAAAATTAGTATCTTCAGCTGCCCCTCTTTGCTCATTCTTATGTTAACAAGAATAGGGCAAAGACGAAAAGATAATAAATTTTTTTATCCATTTGACTTCACTTGATTATAATGGTAATGTTGAATAATTTCTTCTTTGGGATTAGTTCTTCTAATTATGAACTTTTCCTCTGGGGATGACAATTTATCTCCTTCTGTGATGTAATCTAGCAAAGGTTGAACAAGCTCTTCTCATTGTGAATTTCTTCTTCTTCAGATGAGTTCTTCTCATTGTGAACTTCTTCTGGAAATGCTGATGATGATATATCTCCTTTTGTGATAGAGTCATGCAAAAGGTCGAACAAGCTCTTCTCATTATGAACTTCTTCTTCTTTCTTCAGATGAGTTCTTCTCATTATGAACTCTCTCTGGAAAAGTTGATCCATCGAGTGATGAATTCGAGAGAATAGTTGAACAAGTTCTTCTCATTATGAACTTCTTCTTCCTTTTTCAGATGAGTTCTTCTCATTATGAACTCTTTCACTGGGGATGCTGATCCATCAAATGATGAATTCAAACAAAAGGTTGAACAAATTCTTCTCATTATGAACTTCTTCTTCCTTCTTCAGATGAGTTCTTCTCATTATGAACTTTTTCTGGAAAAGCTGATCCATCAAATGATGGATTTGAGTAAAAGGTTGAACAAATTCTTCTCATTATGAATTTCTTCTTCTTCAGATGACGAGTTCTTCTCATTAGGAACTTTACCTGGCAATGTTGATCCATCAAATGATGAATTCAAACAAAAGGTTGAACAAATTCTTCTCATTATGAACTTCTTCTTCCTTCTTCAGATGAGTTCTTCTCATTAAGAACTTCTACTGGTACTGTTGATCCATTGAATGATGGATTTAAATCTTTGTTAAAATCTTTGAAATTCCTGTCAAAATTCAACATGGATAAAATGAACGAAAATGCACCTATTTTTGCAAATACCTAAATATGATGCATGAATGTTAAGTTTATTTGATTTCAAATTTGTGAACTGAGTATTTCTTCATTTGTGTAGAAATCCAATAAATCTTTCTTCTTCAAATCGGAGAATCTATCATCTTTGACAAATGTAGATGTAGATATAATGTCATAAAATCCCTTGAGAACAAAACTCAATGGCACAGGCTCTTGAAAAGTTTGCACTCATGTAACATGTTGATTCTGATAACTACTCATCTAATTATGAAGTGATCTCTCAAGATGATTTCACAGATATCGATAGTTCTTTTGATACCGAGAAAATCCTGAATTCTGATTCTGATGAGGAGAGTAAACTGTTATACTTGACGAAAATGGGATACTCAAATGCTATGTCTTCAATAGTCATAGAGATAATCCTGATTCATCAATTGCAGAGTTGACAGATTTTTATGTGCTGCTCAAATGGCTAAGGCTACTGAAACACTTCTTCCGGTAAAAGATAGGAAGCCATTATGCAATGATCCCAATTACAAGAAAAGGCGAAACTTGGGCTATGATTTTTGGGAAAGGAATAAACAGAAGAAGCTTGAAAAGATGCTTCTTAATGAAGACGACCATGCAGTTCATCTTTTAATTCTAATGATTGGTTTTCTGGTTCCTACCGAACCAGATCAGATGACTCAAAGAAAACTTCCAAAAGATGTTATTGGGTCTTCTTATTTCTACTATGAGCAAATTCATCTTTCAAATCCAATGATTGATTTTGGGGTTCATACCAAATCAGATCAGATAACTCAAAGAACACTTCCAGAAGATGCTATTGGGTCTTCGTATTCCTACTATGAGCAAATTAATCTTTCAAATCCAATGATTGATTTTGGGGTTCATACCAAATCAGATCAGATAACTCAAAGTACACTTCCAGAAGATGCTATTGGGTCTTCGTATTCCTACTATGAGCAAATTCATATTTCAAATCCAATGATTGATTTTGGGGTTCATACCAAATCAGATCAGATAACTCAAAGAACACTTCCAGAAGATGCTATTGGGTCTTCGTATTCCTACTATGAGAACGTAGCACTTGATCCAGTTAATGTTTGGACTGGAATATCACAGTATTTATTCGATGTAGAGCTAGAATTTATAGATTCAAAGTATTTTCATGCTGCTACACTGAAAAGGGGCTATATTCATAATCTGCCAATTTGAGAATAGATTTCTTCTTGTTCCGCTTCCAAATAACTCTATGATGGTGATAATTTGCTTACTTTGTATTCCATGCCTTTAAAAGTATTAACATAAAGTGATATTCAAAAATCTTTAACTTATTTCAGAATTAGGTTAATCCATTTACAAAATAAAAGAATAAGTTGAATTTTCGAAAATAAATTGAATTTAGAGAAAATAAACTTAGAATTTATTAATAAATAGATAGAATTGTATTCAAAGTTATGGCAAGCATAGTAATGATAAAAATTCAAATGACTCAGCAAATTATTAGCATAAGTATTTCTAAATTAATCAAATTGATATAATTTAGAGTACTGATGTAAGCTTTTGTCTGAAAGATCTCAAACGTTGTCAGAATGCTTGTAGATGTGAAGTTCCTCCCAAACTATCAAAATCTTAAGAGGGTTCAATTACCAGATGCCTAATATCAACATGCATTTGAGCCACCCTTTCAGGTTTTCAACTCAAATCCTTCCTTTGGTTACAAGATGCCCTTTGCGGGTTTTCATCTTGACCCCCCTTTTTTTCTTCTTTTCTTCTTTTTTCTTGTTTTTTCTTCTTCTTCTCTTTTTTCTTTTCTTTTTTTTTCTTCTATTTTTTTCTTT